AGGTGTTTAAAGGGCCAGCACCAGTCACATAAAGAGTCCATAAGCCCCAATATGCCCACCGACAGTCTTAAAGGGCCATACACCAAATAAAAGTGCATACATTTTCACAATCTCCCAGGGGCCATAGTCATGCGGGAGGAGGCTGGCAAGTAGGCTTCTCCACAACCCAGGGAAGCAGGGCAATTTGCCATTTAAAGGGCCCGGTACAAATAGCAGTTTGTAACAAGGTGTCAATCCATATCTGCCAAGTGACCCGATGTAGGGGGGGACCAGTCCCTATTCTGCTCTGTGTCAGTGTGTACCAGGGAACCTTAGGACAGGTGTCAATCCATATCTGCCAAGTGACCCGATGTAGGGGGAACAGTCCCTATTCTGCTCTGTGTCAGTGTGTATCAGGGATCCTTAGGACAGGTGTCAGTCCATATCTGCCAAGTGACCCTATGTAGGGGGACCAGTCTCTATTCTGCTCTGTGTCCGTGTGCATCAGGGGCTCTGAGGACAGGTGTCAATCCATATGTCAAGATGTCAATATGTCATATGTCAGGTGTCAATCCATATTCATTGTGATTTAGGAATGTTAGGTGATTTCTGCCCTTTATGGATTAAAACCAGACTCTGCATCAACTGTGTAATTTTCCATGGGAGTTTTGCCATGGATCCCCCTCCGGCATACCACAGTCCAGGTGTTAGTCCCCTTGAAACAACTTTTCCATCCCTATTGTGGCCAGAAAGAGTCCCTGTGTGTTTTAAAATTCGCCTCCCCATTGAAGTCAATGGAGTTTCGGGCGGTTCGCCAGTTCGCGAACATTTGCGGAAGTTCGCGTTCGCCGTTCGCGAACCGAAAATTTCGGGTTCGTGAGACATCACTACTTATGGACAGTAATAGTTAGATGGGGATATCATTTTAGCGAAACTAGATAAGAAATATTCGGTACTGTCCACAAGCACAATGGCAAGTGACAGCCTTATCAGTGTGTCGGTTAGGTGGGATCTGACATGGCCTTTTGATTGCGGCTTGCGCATCGCACAGATCAGTGACCAACTTGTAAGCATGTTTAGGTAAAACAAAGTACTCTCTGTCCAACATAGAAACAATATAAGTGATTACCATACACAGGGCCGTCTTTAATATTGATTGGACCCTGGGCAAAACATTTGCTTGGGCCCCCTGGACCATGTACACCCTCCCCAGGCATGCAAACATGTTATCACCCTTAACGCAGTGGCTACCTAAAGTAGAGAGGTGCAAGAATATTTTTTTGGGGCCTTCCTATTGCAAGGATGTTTAAAAGGTAGATCCCCATCTGTTGTGCAACTCCAGCAATGCCTTGACAGCTGGGGCTCTACCATTTATCCATATTTGCAGGTTTGTATTTAGCACTAAGCTGTTTTTGTGTGTTTCAATGTAAACAGGTTTTTGTATGGAATATGTTTGTATGTGGCATTGGCGTTTGAATGTAAGCATGTATTTATGTGTAGTGTTGGTTTTTGAATGCAGCGTTGTGTATACCTATAATGTTGGTGTTTAACACAGACGTGTATTTGTATGTTGTGCTGAAGCTTGAATGCAGGGGTGTATTTGTGTGTAGTGTTAGCGTGTGAATGTTGAGATGTATGCACATATACACACACAAACACACAGGTAGATATGCACACAACCTGACACACAAATACACACCCTGACACACATACTAATACCATAACATACAGATACACTGAAACACACAAATACAACATACAGATACACACTGACACACATACAGACACACCGATACACATCCTGACATACACAAAGATACAAACACTGACACACATGCAGTTACACAGACACACATATACACACCTGACACACTTGCAGATACACACACAGACTTCATACAGATACACACACATATATACACACTGACAAACACACAGATACAAAAAATGACAACATATAGATACACACACAGATATACAGACAAACTGACACACAAACATACACTGATAGACATACTTACACAGACACATAAACTGACAGACATACTGACACATAGACAGACAGATATATACTGAGACACACACAGACATACTGACACACTGACAGACATGCTGACACATTCACCAACACACACACCGACATACAGACACAAAGAGTCAAACTGATACAGACATGCACACACCGACATACAGACATGCACACACTGACATACATATGGACACACAGAGACACATACACTAACAGACATGCTGACACACACACACATATACTGACAGACATACTGACACACACACACTGACAGACATACTGACACACGCACTGACAGACATACTGACACACACACTGACAGACATACTGACACACACTGACAGACATACTGACACACACACACTGACAGACATACTGACACACGCACTGACAGACATACTGACACACACACTGACAGACATACTGACACACACTGACAGACATACTGACACATTCACAGATACACATGCAAAATTTACACTATTAAACCCACCCTTTCTACGTTGGAGGGTGACTTTCCTACCAGTGGCTGAAGCTGCTGGGAGTTGGGGTCTGGCTAGCTCGGCCCAGACCCTCACCGCTCTGCCTCTTCCTCCTCCCGCGCGCTCCTCTCTCTATGGGAGGAAGTGACGTGCAGCCGGCTGCCGAAAAGCAAGAGGGCCTGGTCGCGCTCTTAAAGCACCAGAGCGCAAGACCGGGCCCCTGCTGACAGAAGCCCACCGGGTGCGTGGCTGCACCGGCAGTTGGGAAAAATGCTTGAGGTCAGCGGGGCCCACGGTGCAGCTGCTTCGGGCCCCCAAGAGTAACTGGGCCCGGGGCAGCTGCCCCGTTTGCCCCGCGGTAAAGACGGCCCTGACCATACACTCTAGTTTGCTGCTAGGAGAGGCATAGGGTGAATCCCTGGTTACTTCTTGCAAGCTTCGTGGGCGAGCAATTATCACATAGATTTGCTTATCTGGTAAGACACAACTCAATGTCACTGGTAATTCTGTGACCACATGTACATCTAGCTATCATGCAATTATGTCGGGTAAGCATAGTTTAACTTGTCACTGCTGGTGGATCGGTTAACCAGCCCCATAGTTAGACTAGTTTGGTGAGGTGTCTCATGGCACTGCGGGTGTTATTTGTGAGTAATATGGGCAAGTAACGGTCTTACTTGTATGTTTGATAGGTGGAGTCTAATGCGTCTCCCTAGGTACAGATTATAAGGTATACAGGACCATCTATGGCTCCCATGTAGTAGGCCTATGTAATGGGACCCATTTCCATGGTTGTTCTGATGAGTAAAATCACAGGTACCTCTATCATATGTCAGTGTGGTACCTTTCAATGTGATACATCCATCGCACGCATGTGTTTGTGTGGGATATAGTGGGGTGATTATTTAAATGAAATGCAGTTTATATGCCAGTCATGTACCGCCAAAGCGGGAATACTTGCGGTGAGTTGTCAGTTAGTAGTATGCCAATCTTTATCCTCTCGTCGCGATGGTTTGGGTGTTTGACTGTCTCCCACCACGGGCATGTTCCATTGGCGTAGCAGGTTCAGGCCCTCTTTTGCTGTGTGGATGACCCTGATAGTCCCGTTTCTAGAGGCAATGAGGCAGATAGGGAAATCCCATCGGTACAGGACATGGTTGGCACGGAGGGTCTCTGTCACCCGCTGGAAGGTTTTTCGTTATCGCAGGGTGGCCGCGGAGAGGTTGGAGAACATCTTGATGCTGGAGTATTCGGCAGGTAGGTCTTTGGCTGTTCTGCTTCTCCTCATTAGAAGGTCCTTCACGTGGAAATAGTGGGCTTTCAGCAATACGTCTCGGGGTAACGAGGCCGCAATCTGCTGGGGCTTCGGGACCCTGTGTAGACGGTCCACAAACAGCATATCTGTGTGGATCTCGGGGACCAGTGCTCTGAAGAAGCAGTGTTTGTAGCTGGGGAGATCTGCCTGGAGGACCGTCTCCGGTATGCCCCTCATCCTGATGTTGCTTCTCCTGGATCTATCCTCGAGGTCCATAATCTTTGTCTCGCATTGTTGCAGCTGGGGGGTAAGAGATTTGATTTGCTCTGTGGATGCATTGTGCGCGTCGATCAGGTCTTCCATTTTGGCTTCCACGTGTGTTGTGCGGGAGCCAATGTCCTGTAAGTCGCGTTTCAATTCTGCAACACTTGATTGCCAGATTGTGATTAGCCATTGTGATTGTTCCTCTACGGCTTGTTTCAAAATCGTTATGGTAAGTGGCCCTCAATCTTGTGGCGATTCTGCCTCTGATCTCGGGCTACTGCCACCAGAAATCTCGGCACCATCTTGTGGCGATTCTGCCTCTGATCTCGGGCTACTGCCACCAGAAATCTCAGCACCACCTTGTTGGTCCGCGGCCACGGACTGTATAGCCAGAGCTGCCACTTTTTTCTGCGAGAAAAAACTCGATCTATCAGGTTTTTCTTGTTGCCGTCGGGACTTAGGTTGCGATATCTTTGATATGGCACTTATTTCCCCGCAGGAATCTCACAATTGTTTAAATTTGCCTAGCTCGTGGTGCAGAGCTAAGGGCTCAAGTGGCCATCTTTCTCCGCGTTCAGCCATTGTTCCATGGAGGGGAGGAGTGCGAGGGAGGGGGCTCTATAGGAAGCTATAGTGCCAGGAAAACAACTTTTTTTTCCTGGCACTAGTTTCCCTTTAAGCTAACTATTCTAATGTCTATGATGAGTTAATTTGCCATAAGAGTATCAAAGCAGAGTAAACATATAGCTTGTTAACGGCAAATTTGTTGCTATTAGACTTGTGCGTTTAATTTCAATTGAATTGCGATTTGTCCCAATTGTGGGCGATCAGCGGTTCATCGGAATTCTAGGACTCCAAAACGCTGGACGAATTATTGTTTGTTTCCTAATCTAAGGTTTTATCTGCAGCACCAAAAAAAGATTGGTAGTTAGGGGAAAGCCACTAAATGTTGATTACTCTCCTATAGTGATGTCCCGAAAGGTTCGCCGCGAACGATTCGCCGCGGACTCATCATTGAGTAAACTCTGACCCTGTACCTCACAGTCAGCAGACACATTCCAGCCAATCAGCAGCAGACCCTCCCTCCCAGACCCTCCCACCTCCTGGACAGCATCCATTTTGAAGCTGCATTCTTAGTGAGCTGTCCAGGAGGTAGGAGGGTCTGCTGCTGATTGGCTGGAATGTGTCTGCTGACTGTGAGGTACAGGGTCAAAGCTTACTTAATGATGAGTCCGCGGCGAACCGTTCTCGGCGAACCGTTCGGAACATCACTACTCTCCTATCAAGTGAGAAATGACCAATAGAGGGGAAAAAGGAGGATCAGTAAAAAAAAAAAAAAACCTCTATACTTATAATATAATAATAAATAAATATAGTTCCCTTACTGCTCCTCTTCTTTTTCCCTTTATTAATCACTTGATCTTTCTTTTACTGGTCATTGTCATGGCAACACAACGATGGGTACATCGTCCGTATCCCTAATTAGACAGGAACCAATTTAAAAAACTAGCACAGATATAAGCACCCACTGTCTCTCCACCCCTCAGTCTTAGCTCCCAGCAATATTCAAAAAAGAAAAGTAAGAATGTAGGACCTATGTGCTGCCATGGCCTATGACCAGGAAAAATCACATAAAATCATATAGAAAAACTTACCAAGCTGAAAGCAACTATTAAAAGTCAAGGGATCCAAAAAACACAGCATAAAATTAAATCATGGACTACAAGGGAAATGATCAGAAAAGGCAGGCAGGATTAACTAGACAACACTTCTTTAAACCACAGCAGTTTACAAAATGAAATTAAAGAGAAAGAATCAACCAGGTAATTCCAAATGGCAAAATCTGCAAAAAATACTCAGATCCATAAACGCAGGCATATTGAGAGAGGGTAAAAGCCGGGTATACATATAGCCTGCTGTCCATAGGGTCACAGCAAGAAGTCACCTGGCCACTAAAAGGGAATCATCTTGGGGAGGGGAGGCATTAGCACAGAGCCATATTCTGAAGCATCTCAAGGAAGATTTATTTTTCAATCTTAGATGCAATGAAAAGATGTGTTAATCTGTAAAACGTAAACATAAGTCATTAACAGCAGGCAGAGAGATGGGAAATGCAGATGATGTGGCATTTAACATGAAGCCAGTAAAATGATGTGATAAAACCTTAAAGTATAGCAGTAATTGAGACTGAGATTGTTTATAGCAGAGAATACTAACTTATTTAGCTCTATTTATTAACACAGTGTTAATGCATGATGCAGCACCTGGTTTTAATTAGCAATCTACAATTTACGAGTTCTTATATTTTGATATGAGATATTTGAAATTATTATTTTAAAAACATGACCAAATAGTTCTAACTTTTTTTAAAATAATTATCATTGCTGAAATGTTTATTTATATATATATATATTTTTATTTTTTTTGCGGTTAATGCTCGTCCTTTTGGCATGCAAATTAGTTGTTTGTACACGGGAGGTATAAACATTGCACTGAATGAATATTACATCTGCACTACAAAGGTTTTATTCCCATACAGTAGCTAAAACATCTCATTCTGCGGCAAATCAGTAAGTCTCTAAATTCTGAATAATGCAAACTACCAACTGTTTGGCAGGCAGAACAGTCCATCTGCGGCAAGATTAATGTTTTCCGAGAAATACGTTCTGGAGATTGTTTTATAGGTGGTGTAAACAAATGCTAAATGTATTAAGAAAAATCTGTGACACAGGAACCACATATCTGCATATTTTCACCAGTAATAACCTGCAATGGGCTGATGTTTATTTGATTAATTACTGAAATCATGCTTTCTTGGGAGACTGGTGTCTGCAGGACGATGATAAAGCCTTAAATCAATGGGTTACGTTGGTGCAAAGAGCAGGCAGGTGTTGCGGACACCAGATGGCCAAAGACTCCTGGGATAGGTAAGCCAGTGTGCAATTAATCCAATCCCCGAAATATAAGGCACTCTCTGTAGTGCTGCTTGTTCTTTTCTGTTCTGGTGCCATCTGGCACAGTTGTCATGTTTTCAGCAGACTTCCCCAGTTGGAACTGCCAGTATTTCCTGTTCCTGACCTTACGCATTCCCACGGTTCTGTCTGTCCTGTGAGATTTCAACTCCACGCCAAGTTTCTAATTGTCAGAAAGATTTGTGATAAGGACATGAGCCAAAGGATAATAAAGGGAAACGTACATTTTAATGTTACATTTTGACACACAGATCTGTACTGCAAATCCTGGCCAACTGTTCTTTTTTAGTTATGGGACCAGAGGTAAATAAAAGTGAAGTAGGGCATATTCAGTGTGGAAATATAATATGCAAATGCTTTTTATATATAGTACAAGTATGGAAAAGGTGTTACCCATTTCAGAAAAAAAACAAACTTTTTTTCAGCTTGAAATATATTGTATCTACTTATTTACATATGTATTCTGTGACTGATTAATATACACATGTCAAGGCAATTTAGCTTACTCAATAAACAATATATTTCCCATCAATTTAATTTGTTTTACTATTTGTTTTAATGGAATACATTTTTAATGCTAAGAGTACTTATTTGAAAGAAAATACAAATAAAAGATTAGATGTATTATAGCCTCCATGTGAATGATTTTTAAAATGTACATGAAAATAAATACAACTTTTCAGTACATCTCTTGGTTAAAGGAATACTATATCATATGCAAACAAAATAATTTATATTATATATATTATTTTCCTATATATACTATAGGAAGGCAAATGTGTATTTCTAACACTATAGTGTTCTAGCCACCATTTCAGTGACCTGCCCGACCAATGGTTATGTATTTTACTTACCTCTTATTCCACTCTGTGCTGCTTTCATCGCTGCTGGCCCCAACTCTTTAGCTGAAATCACCAATCTTGATGATCTCAGCCAATGCAATGCTTGGTGCACATGTGTGGCAAAGAAGGTGGGGACTAGCCCTGTAGGAACTTAGGTAATGGGGTGGAAAAGTCACTGTCAAGCCCCTGAACCCACACATGGCCTGCAGGTGGGGGCTCTATAATAAAACATGGGAATAACTTGCAAAAGTCCCACACAGCCCCCAACCATGGATGGCATGAGGGTACTATTAATATAATAACTTGAGGGCATCCCACTGTCCACTCCCCATCCATGAGTGGCAGGTGGGAGCTATTAATATAAAATCTGAGGGGAGACTAAACTATCCCCCTCTACACTTGGGCTTCAGGTGGGCGAGTAATTGAAACAGAGAGGGTGGACATGCTATTATCCACAACCACCACTCTCACTCATAGGCTTCAGTTAGTGAAGTTCTCCTCCCATTATCCCCTCCTTTCTCTCCAGTGGTTAGGGCTACCCAAACCCCTAACCTCCCCCAAATAAAATTCCCTTCTTACATCACTCACCCTAAGGCTAGTGAGGAGTGGAGGGCAACACGTTTAATAACTGTAATTTAAAAAAAAATCATACTTACCATCAGAAGTCCTCTTTTCTTCAACATCACAAAGGCCAAATAGAAATACTTGATATCCTGATTCTAAAATTAAAAGGCACAAATTGAAAAAAAAAAAAGTACCCCAAAATATTAAGACACGTGACAGAATAAAAATATCTCTTCATCACTCTTTGAGGGCTCCACACTGACTGACATTTCGAGAAGGGAAAAAAACCTTCAGAAAGGACTTTGCACACTTTGAAATGTTAGTGAATGTTCTCTGATGCTGGTAAGTTAAATAATCAGAGGGCTCTGACAGACAAGTGTCACCTGAGACTTGCCTGTCAAAGAACTTTGTTTGGTTGAATCATGGGTAGTGTCTAGGGGGAACATTAAAAAATTCCACATGCATTACTTTTACTGTGCCCACAAAGTGATGACGTGTTGGGGCAGGAGATATATAGGGGTCACGCTATCCCCCTTTAATTAATTTCTGCCCCTACTCAAAGCCCTCAGATGGGGGCCAGTGCCAGGGCAACCCACTCCCTGGTATATTTCAGGTTTTAGATACAGTGAGAAGCCAGTGGCTGCTCACTGTTGAGTAAATATATATCATATATATATCATATTTACAATTCCAGCATGTAAATAGTTAAGATTTTAAAAAT